CTTTTCAAGTAAAGAAAACCCATTTGACAGCAGAGTAGGAAAATATTTTTGATTGACAAGTAGAAACAAGTAAGGACTATATTTAGAGATTTTTTTTCAAAATTGGTGATCTACCAGTACTTAGAAGTATAAAGTGTATATGATTGACCAATGCTAAAATAATTATATTTAATATAATAATCAGTGTTCATTGGAAGGATAGAAATAGAAAGAAATATTCACAACTATCTGAAGAATTTATACCTTTATTTTGCCCAAAAGTTAGCTGATGTATACTCAACCTTAAGTCAATAAAAAGCAATGATTCAAGGAGTCACATTATTTATAATCATTTGCTCAAGAAGACTGATAGATTTTTTACTATACTCAAAATAGCCCGAATTCCAAAACATTCTTGTTTTTATCATATCAAGAGCTCATTTATTTCACAGAATTAGACAGTTAACTGTCTTCTGAAGTTATTTAGATTTTAATTATTATTGCACATAAATGACATGACTTCAAGTACATGCTGAACAAAACAGCTGGGTATTAAAATCACTGAGTAATTTCCTGAAATTATTTTCATACTTTCAGTGCATGTTTTGCTTGGATTTTTAACAGAGTACATTTATGTTATATATTGCAAGTTTATCTGTAAGAAAAGTGGCAACATACATCTTGCATTACTGAGTTTTCCTGTCTTTAGAGAATTTTTGGTAATCTACCAATATTTGGATGGCTTTTAAAGTTGTAACTTATGATTCTTTCTGCCCTGAAAATTAATGAATGTTTGCAGCACTTTTACTATATTATATTGTGGGACCTATTTCTTTACATTTTACTAAAGGTTTAAAGTTGACCTGAAGAATTTTAATGGCTATTCTAATGAGAAACATGATTAAGAATAGACTTTAAAACTCTATTGTTTTTCTACCACCTGCTGCTAAGAGTGTACATAATAGCTTATTTTGGGGAGAAGTACATATTCAGAAATAAAATAAGGATTATTTTATAGCACCTAGAAAGCTTCAATAAAATATCCACATGTAATATTATTTGCATGTAACACACATCTCTAGGGAATAGCTATTTTTGACTCCATTCCACAGCGTGAGAAACTGAGGCCAAGAGAAGTTAAATGGCTTGTGCAAACCAATGTAGCCATTAGGTAGAGAAAATGCATTGGAACATGCTTTCTGATTCCAATCCCCAAACTCCTTGAATATAGATAGTAATGAAATTTTCATTCCTTGTCATCTTGATTGTTTCTGCTTTCCAGTGTTTTGTTCTTTTTCAACCTCAATCTCCTCAATTTCTCTAAGTGTTGAATTTATTGAGGTAGACTTTAGGGGAAATTCAACCCCTTCACAGGCAGGCTGTGGATTCCCAGTTAGACACAGACATGCAATATCAAACAAGCAGAGGTGCAGGACTCCCTATCAACTCAGATGTATTCAGACACAAATTCTTAATTTGGAGAGCATTTGGGAAACCAAATCAAATCTAAAACATTGAGCCCCCTATGACCAATCCTAAAGTAGAACTAACCTCAAATGCTAATTTGCCTTGTAATTGATTTAGGAAACCTTCGAATGAGAACTGGATACTGGTCCCCTACCTTTGGCAGGACTCTTAAATATAGGGTATATACATAAAAACAACTTCTCAGTAGGTCCATTCCTGCCCATTCCTGCTCAAATAGCTTGGAAATTTGCTGTTTTCACACAGCTTATCCCTATTTTATAGTATTACCCTATTTTAAATATTATTCTTGCTGGCCTGTATTACCCTGACTCCAAACCTTGAAAACACTGGGTTCTACTCAGTATAGCTGGGACCATACCTTGATTTCCTTAGCATGGTGGGGACCAGAGCAAGCCATCCATTGCTATGTGTGTGTTCTGTGCCTCTCCAGGCCCCGCACCCCAGAAAAAGACAGCCCCATCATGCTAAAAGTTAGGGGAGGTTGAGCCACCTCCCACTGAGCTGTGGCTGTTAACTTTGGTCATGTCATAACCTTTCTTTGGTAATGTGCCACTGCATTAAGATTCTAAAGGAGAGAATATTCAAAGGGCAGTACTTCTCCCCCTCACACTCAAAGGACATTGGGACTATTTGGAAAGGAAGAATAGAACTAACTGAATCTTCCCTTAAATTTGGCAGACAGAATTAGGATGTTTTCAGTGCAAAGACTATGACTATTATAAACCACTGCCTTGTTTGTTTGAATTTAGATTTGGTATTAACTATTATTCTTTTGCTACAAATTGGTAAAGAACAACTTCTTCCCTGTAGAAATAATAAAAAACTGTGTCAGAAACTGTATCATTCTGTCCTTTTTGGAAACTTGCCAAGGACAGATCCTACTAGTTTTAAGATCCTATTAGTATGAAAATTGGTTGACATTCAATTAAAGTGAGTATTAATTTTTTTCATATTGTTTTCTTTATACTTGATATGGTAAATATTACTTTTGTTTCATATGCTGACACTGTTGCAGTTGTAGTGACAAAAATATATATTTGGTAGCTAATTTTCAATAGTTATACAATTATAAAGTCTTTTCAACTACCAAATCAATTTGGTAATAGCAAATAACAAAAAGATCCTTTAAAAATACCTCTTTTTTCCTAAAATACCAACTCATTTTAATTCTGTGAAACAAGTTTCTCAATATGGTATCCAGTTTTATAATGATTTGTTTACTTCTGCATAAATTTTCCATCTCAACTAAATTAAAATATGCATTAAATATCTTAATATAAATCTTGGAAGAGTAAATCATCATTTATAACACAGGATGTTAAAATATTAACAAATAATTCTGAGGTAAATGGAACCAGAACTGAAACAACTAAATTGATGTTTAGCCGGAAATGACCAAGGCTTCATGTTAGGTGAATCATTCTTTTTTATTACACAAATATATCCTTTTAAGTTGTAATTAAATTATTCTCATTTCATATGTATAGATATTTCACTTATGCCATTTCCCTAGACAGTGACCAAATGTGTCTTGTGTATTGATGTCAGAGTTCTTATATTAATTCCAGGTAAATATAGGCCACAGTTGGTCAGGATTCCAGAATGTGAAGATAATTGGTAAAACCATTATTTAGAGCTCAGCAGATTTATTATTAGGAAAGTAATCTTTGTTATTCAAGTTAGGATCTGTTGTCTTTAAGGCATAGTTATAGAGGATCCTTGTGTTTGCCATCACTTGACAGTTTCTATTTACTGTTAAACTGAATCCTAGTCTTGATTAATATGTCTGGGTTAAGACAGTGAGCTCAATTTAGCACCCATGAATAATCTGTGAAGATCACCAAGCAGGTGATGTTATCCTAAATGATGACAGGCCCAGCAGATATGCCTTACATAGTAGTGCTGTGAAATGACTTCCCTGAGATCATGAGCTCTGACTCTCTTGAACTTCTGGAACTTTTATTTACTCTTTCAATATAGTACTCTGATTCTTTATTCAGTTAATTTTACCAGCCATAACCAGTGTAGTGATCATAAAACATTTATTTGCACACATCACTCCCCTGCCTTAGAGCATCACGGCCGACAGAATATTGTAGAGATCTCCTAGACTACCACTTAAGATCCGTTGCTGTCAGGCTCTGGTCTAATTCTCAAAATCAGGCCTGCTTATCACCTGTCATTCATTCATATTTTTCATCCAGTTTGGATTTTTATCCATCCTTTAAAGCCAGTTGAAGACCTGCTCATCCATGAAGCTTACTCATTTATACCAGCCCTTGGACACAGTGATGCCTACCTTCTCTCACTCATTAGCACTTACCATATGCTGCCTAGCACTGAAACCAGTCTTTGATGCATTTCAACTAGACTGGGATTCTTTGACAGCAAAGATTATGTATTATTATACTTCATTACATACTTTCCCACAGTACCTTCCTTAATTACTTCAACATAATAAGTTCTCCATAAAAGGTTAATTACCTAAAAAGACACTGCTATGTCATTCATTCATGCATTTATTGAATTCAACAAATATTTTTCAATTCCTACTATGAGTCAAGCACTGTGCTAAGACCTGGAATACAGCAAGGAACAAAATGGAATGATCCTTACTCTACGAAACTTACAGTCCTGGGCCCTACTGGTATTTTCTGTCCAATTGTTCTTCTTAATTTCTCTTTTAAAAGTATATAAAACTTTATTTTAAAGTTTTTGATCTCTCATTTATTAGTATTTCTCTGTCTGTGACTTGTTACCAAAAAAATGATTAATACCAACATATTTTTTAAAAAGTAAATACTCAGTTAACTCAGCTCGAGTTTGGTCTTACCTTTGGCTAATTATGATCTTACCTTTGGCTGAAAAAAATAAGACATTCTTTTCCTTTATTCTTTGTAAGCCTAGTGTTCCTTTTGAATAACAACAAAGTTCATGATTTCCCAGCTCCTCATTGGGGACATCATGCGCTTTTTAGGTCAGCTCAGAAACTTTTATTCATAAACTAGCTGACAATATATGATCATATCATGGATTATTTTGACCTTTTCTGTATTCCATGTTTTGATTAGCTGGCTGTCCTACTCATATCTCATTTATAGACAAATTGTGAAAGGCTTGAATGGCTAGCCAAAAATATATGAAATACTGAAAAGGTCAGTGCGATTTAGCCCAGAACCACAGTACTGAAAATATATGACAAGTCATTATCCCACTTAATTCCCACAACAAGAACTGTGGTAAAGATATGAAATTATTCTAGTTAAAATATTCATGTTTCTTACTGAAGGCTGAGGTCCCAAAGCTCAATTGGCTTCTTGACTCCTATTTTGTGATAACTTAATAAGTTAAAAAGAAATTATAATTGAATTAAACAAGGGAAAAGAAAAGGTAACAAGCTCTTTTGATTTGAGAGTCCATTGTAGAGGAAATTATATAATGACTTTTCTAAAAATTCTAATTATACATGAGTGAGACAGATACAGCTACAAAACCAATTCAACAGCCACCCCATGCTCTCTTTCTATCTACAGCATAGCTGTCAGTCAGATGGAAACTCCATTTATTTCCATGGAAATGAAGGCAGTGAGTTCAATTTTGCCACCACCCGGGATGTAGATCTTTCTACAGAGGATATTCAAGAGCAATGGTCAGAAGAATTTGAAAGCCAGCCTACAGGGTAAGTAATTGTTATCTCCCATGCTGTGGCACTTATATTTCTTCCACTGACATATTTTAAATACATATTGTTATATAGCAAAAGCATACTTTAAAATCAATGATGATGATGATTCTTATCATAGAAGGACAAAAGGGTTGTACTTATCCTAAACATTCTTTATTAAGCAATTATTTTTATTCAGATTAAAAATTTGTGATGTAAATGCCTTTTAATTTCAGTTGAATCACTTTATATTTCATCTTTGTTTATTCAACTTCTACTGTGAGAAAGTATTTTTTCAATACATATATAGCATACAAAAATCTTTCCACTACTATTATATCAAGACTTCATGTTGCCTTCATGAAATCTGAGATTTATAGATGCTGTGTTTATTTTCAGTGGAATTTGGTTTTGAGCTGGAAAAACTGCTTAGAGGTTAAAATGTATCTTTGAGGAATTTTAAATTTTTATTATTGCTTATTGAAGTATAGTTGATACACAATATTATATTGATTTTGATTTCAGGTGTACAACATAGTGATCAGACAATTAATATGTTACAAAATGCTCACAAAAGTGTGGTTACCATGTGTCACCATACAGTTATTACAGTATTATTGACTATATTCCATATGCTGTACTTTTTATCCCTGTAACTTATTTATTTTAAAATTGGAAGTTTGTACCTCTTTATTCCCTTCATCTATTTTGTACACCTGCCATCCCTTCCCCATGGCAATGACGAGTTTGTTCTTTGTATTTATGAGTCTATTTCTGTTTCCTTGTTTGTTCACTTGTTTTATTTTCTTAGATTCTACATATAAATGAAATCGTATGGTATTTGTCTTTCTCTGTCTGATTTATTTCACTTAGTGTAATACCCTTTAGGTTTGTGGTCCATCCATGTTGTTGCACATGGCAAGATTTCATTCTTTTATATGGCTAATTAATATTCCATTGTGTATGTGTGTACCACATCCTCTTTATCAGTTCATCTGTCAGTGGACATCTGTCAGTTCATCTGTCAGGTTGCTTCCATATATTGATTATTATAGATAATGCTGCAATAAACATAAGGGTGCATATATCTTTTGAATTAGTGATTTTGTATTGTTCAGGTAAATATCCAGAAATAGAATTGCTGGTCATATAATATTGCTATTTTTAAACTTTGAGGAACCTTCATCCTGTTTTCCATATAGGCTGCACTATTTATATTCCAACCAACAGTGTACAAGGGTTCCCTTTTCTCGATATCCTTGCCAACACTTGCTGTTTCTTCTCTTTTTAATACCAGCCATTCTGCCTCGTGTGAGGTGATGCTTCATTGTGGTTTTGAATTGCACTTCCCTGATGATTAATGATGTTGAGCATCTTTTCATGTGTATATTGGCCACCTTTATGTCATCTTTGGAAAAATGTCTATTGAGTTCCTCTGCCCATTTTTTAATTGGATTATTTGCTTTTTGAGTGCTGAGTTGTATGATTTCTTTATATATTTTGGGTATTCACCCCTTATTGAATGTGTGATTTACAAATATCTCCCCTCATTCAGTAAGTTGCCTTTTTGTTTTGTTGATCGTTTCCCTCATTGTGCAGAAGCCTTTTAGTTCAATGTAGTCCTACTTGTTTATTTTTGTTTTTATTTCCCTTGCCTGGAGAGACAGTTTACTGCCAGTTTTCTTTGCAGATTTTTATGGTTTCAAGTCTTATATTTAGGTCTTTGATCCATGTCAAGCTTATTTTTGTGTAGGGTATAAAACTGGTCCAATTCCATTTTCTTTTTGCACGTACCTTTCCAGTTTTTTTCCCAACACCACGTATTGAAGAGATTGTCTTTTTCTATTGTATATTCTTGTCTCTTCTGTCATAGATTAATTGACCATTCATTATGGGATTTTTTCTGGGCTCTCTGTTCTATTCCAGTGATCACTATGTCTATTTTTGACCACTACAGCTGTAGTATAAATAATTTGAAAACAGGGAGCATGATACCTCCAGCTTTATTCTTCTTTCTTAGGATTGCTTTGGTTATTCATGGTCTTTTGTGGTTCCATACAAATCTAAGATTATTTGGTATTTTAGTAGGGATTGCATTCAATCTATAGATTGCTTAGAGTTGTATGGACATTTTCACAATATTAATTCCTCCAATCCATGAGCATGAAGTATCTTTCCATTTATTTGTGTCATCTTTAATTTCTCTTTTTCAATGTCTTATAGTTTTCAGAGTATAAGCCTTTTACCTCCCTTATTCCTGGTATCTTATTTTTTTTGCTGCAATTACAAATGGGATTGTTTTCTTAGTTTTTCTTTCTGCTAGTTCATTATTAGTACATGGAAAGGCAACAGATTTCTGTACATTGGTTTTGTATCCTACAACAATCAAGGCTGTTTTTTATATTTGTTGGTTTTTAGGAGTTTATCTATCTCCTTTGTATTTCTGTGGTGTTAGTTTTAACTTCTCCTCTACTGATTCATTTATTCTAATACTGTTTTGGTCACATCTTTAGGTTTTCTATATATAGTAGCATCATGTCATCTGCAAATAGTGACAATTTCACTTCTTCCTTACCAGTTTAGACACCTTTTATTTCTTTTTCCTTTCTGATTGCTGTAGATGGGACTTCCAGTACTATGTTGAATAAAAATGGTGAGAGTGGACAACATCCTTATCTTGTTCCTGATCCCATCTTCATCTTCTTTCAGCTTTTCACCATTGAATATGATGTTAGCTTTGAGTTTGTTCTGTATAGCCTTTATGTTATTGAGGTATATTCTCTCTGTACCCACATTGTGAGAATTTTTGTCATGAATGGAGGTTGAGTTTTGTTAAATGCTTTTTCTAAATCTGTTGAGATGATCATGTGATTTTTATGCTTCATTTTCTTAATGTGGTATATCATTTGATTGATTTGTAGATATTGGACCATCCTTACACCCCTGGAATCAATCCCACTTGATCATGATGTATAATCTTTTCAATATGTTGTTGATTTCAGTTTGGTAATATTTTGTTGAGGATATTTGAATGTATGTTCATTGGGGATATTGACCAGTAATTTTCTTTTGTGTGTGTGTGGAATCTTTGTCTGGTTTTGTTATGAGGCTAATGCTTGCCTTATAAAATGAGTTTGGAAGTGTTCTTTACTATTCACTTTTTTAGAATAATTTAAGGAGGATAGGTATCAACTCTTCTTAAATGTTTGGTAGAATTTACCTGTGAAGCCATCTGATCCTGAACTTTTGTTCTTTGCAGTTTCAAAACCATTGATTAAATTACAAGACTTGTAATCTGTCTGTTCAGATTTTCTTTCTCTTCGTGATTCAGTCTTGGAAGGTTGTTTTTTATGTTTGTTGGTTTTTAGGAATTTATCCATCTCCTTTGTATTTCTGTGGTGTTAGTTTTAACTTCTCCTCTTTTGTTTCTAATTTGATTTATTTGGGTCCTCTCTCCCTTTTTCTTGATAGGTCTGGCTAAAGGTTTATCAATTTTGTTTATTTTTCCAAAAAAAAGCTCTTAATTTCATTAATTCTTTCTATTGTTTTTTATCTCTATTTCATTTATTTCCATTGTGAAATGGAAATTTATTATTTCCTTCCTTTCACTGAGTTTGGGCCTTGCTTCTTCTTTTTTCTACCTACTTTAGGTGTAAAGTTAGGTTATTTATTTGAGATTTTTCTTCTTCCTTGTGGTAGGCCTGTATTGCTATAAACTTCCCTCTTAGAACTGCTTTCACTACTTCCCAAAGATTTTCAACCATTGTGTTTCTATTTTCATAACCTCCATTTTTTAATCTCCTCTTTGATATTTGTTGCCCACTGGTTGTTTAGTAGCATATTGTTTAGCTCTCACATGTTCCCGTTTTTTTCCTGTAAGTTCACAGTGAATGCGAAATAGCAATAATTTAGCTATTAATTGAGAAACTTTTCTAGAAAACATTTGTGGACATGTCTCTCTGACCTCAGCAAATTAAATCAAAGCTGGCTAGAATTTCTAAGTGCCTGAGTAGCAAGAAAACCAATATTGCTCTCTTGGGCTCCCTACCTCCTGGGCAGTTCCTTACCCAGGAACTGCATTCAGACCTAATAAGACAGAAATCTGACCCTCAGACTGAGCTGACACTGCTGCTGTGAACTGGGGGCTCAGATTATTTCCCAGTGATACTCAGCCCCTGTTCCGCTAAAGCAGAGAGAAATACAAGTCTAATCTCCAGTATCACCAATCTGATAAACATATAAATCCCTTTCTATCTATTTCCTCAAACTCTTCAGTAGCACTTACGTTTATTCTTTTGGGGAGAGATAAAATGTATTTTTACCTGTGGCCTTCATGTCTACCTCTTTCATCTCCCAGAAAACCCTCTTCTTTGTTTTAAGTCATTATATCATCAAAGTCTGTTGATAAAAGAGTAAAAGAAATGCTTTACTGCATATATTTATGGTCCGTCCAGCTCTCTGATAGTAACATTAGTAGATACTTAATACCAACACCTGGAAAACACCTTCATGAATTAAACTTAGATAGCAATTGATTTGATAGTAGAAGAAACCAGACGTATTTTAGAAAATTAATGTACTGGTCCAGAGAAATAGCTAAAATATATTCCAATTAACATATCACACATTCCATTTTCACAGAGCACTAATAATCTAAGAGAGTGTGTAGCTCAGACCCCAAAAATAAAGAACCTAAAGTATTTATGCTTGAAAAAAGAGCTAAAACTCAATTCAGATACATAGGAACTTCAGAGAAAATTCCATTCACTCAGTGACTCAAGTGGTTTCAGTTATGTTCTCTGATCACTTCTCAGTAATGAGGATATATCAGGATTTTGGCCACGCTTAAGAGGCTGATACTTTCAGGCCACAGCATTGTCAGCATGTTTCTGGTGCAGTAACAAAGAATAATGTGTTTGACAAAAACACCTGTGCCATTCTAATGGATATATAATTAATTAATCTAAGTTCTAAAAACAGTTTAATTATTCCAGCAACCATAGGTTTACTTCTGA